GAGAAAATTAGGTTTTAAGGTCCGCTGACCTGAAGCACTGAGTGGGAGCGTAGGGGGGAGAAGCTTAGAGAGGGGGGGAGGGGCCAAGCCATTTAGAGACTGAAAAACTGTCGGGGTTCAGTGTTCTGCGCTCTGCTTATTCTCTTCCACAGGTGGTTGTTGCTGACAGGTGGGCGTGGCCCCGCACCTGCAGCTCGTTGAGGCTGCTCTGCTGAGCTTAAGAGGAGCGTTCAGTGAGCTGAAGGACGCCAGAGAGTTAAACCGTTGTGGTACGACTAGGCCTCTGTTCAGTCGACAGATCTCTGAAACCTCATGTTCTGGATTCCTGATTCTAACCTGTCTCCTGTCTCCCTCAGTGAACTCGGGATCGCTCACCCTCCTGTCTCTTGTCTCTGAGGACTGGCCTCTTAATCCTCGCTGCTCCTACTCCTTCCCTGGATTCACACCGGTTCCTTCAGCTGCGTTAACCTTCGCTTCTATTCCGCCTGCTTTCACGTCATCCAGTGTTCTGCCTCCTTGTGGCTTTCCATCCGGTTCGTCTGATTAGTCTCCCCGTTTCTTTGAGGGTTCCACTCTGATTCCAGAGAAATACTCCAGAGACAGCGTAGATTGCAGAGGATTTCTTTTTCAATGCTCTCTTGTGTTTAACCGGTCTCCCTGCACCTCTGCCTTAGATCTTGCCAAGATTTCATAATTGTTAACCGGAAGAGTTTTCAGATGGGGTGAAAGCTCGCCTCGATGCCGATCCTTCAATTGCACCTTGGAGGCTTTCATCAATGAATTTAAAACGGTGATGAAAACTCAAACCTAAGACTAGCCATGTTGTCATAATCAAAGATCCACGTTTAGCTCGTCTTCGTTATCGTCATAAAAAAAGGAGCATCAAGGAAATGATTTCGTCATCGCTATCACTGAGGAAAACAACACTGGGCAGAACCCCCGCATCTTCTATGAACCCCATGACCTCACCTAGAAGCTAGAGCTCAGGACTTAGTCCTGCTTAAAAGATAATTACAGTTTTACAAAAAGTCAAAGAAGATAGAGCTGCAGCTGCAGGCAGATCAATGCATGCAGCTGGAAGAAAGCATTTTGTTTTTCAAAACAAAGGTTCTGGGAGAAAAGACTGGAGAAGGCCAGGAAAACAATATGAGCGCTGGAAGAAACATCAATATGCTTGTAGCTAATGCAAAGGGAAATCAAAATAAAACTTTAATTTTGATAAAATCATACAGTCCTACTAGCAAACCAGTAAAATAAATCTGTAACATGTTTTTATTTCTATGAAACATTACTGTGTGTATTATTATTCGTGCCCCAAAGATGAATTCAGAGACTCAATAAGCTGCATGTAGACCGGATAAGCTCTCTTTAAGAAAATAACTGCTACTGTCAGAAAGACAGAAAACAGACTAATTTGACCAAGCAGGAGATTTAGCATGAAAATAATCCAATAATATTTCCCAGAAGTTTCTAACAAACATAAACAATGTGGAGCTTAAGGACCATTTGAAAGGAACCAAACTGTTGGAGAAGCTTTAGCAAGAGAAGAAAAGTAGTTCTTTGGAATTTAAATTCTAATGTTTATCTCAGTTTAAATCGTCACAAATCAAGGCTTTCTGTAACTTTGGTTTAATTAAAAACTAAACTCGAAATGAGACTTATCATGTTGAACTTTTTTAACCTTTTAATCAAGATGAACAAAAAACAACATTGTTCCATAATTTCATTTTTAAACCACTTTGTTCTGCTAAATGTATAAATATGTTTTATTTCCTAAAAAGCCTCCACTATACAGATTTGATTTTATTATCTTTTTATCCAAATGGGATCTTTTTCCGTAATGAAGCTGGAAAAGACTGAATGCGCCATATAGCGGTCAGGTCTGCAGGATTCCTTTGCTTACCTGGTTTACAGTCACATGACCCATCAACAGGTGAGCACGTTGCTCCATGTTTACAGCTGCAGCTTGCATAGCAGTTAACTCCGTATGCGTGAGGAGGGCATGGCACCGAGCACCTGGAGCCCTGAGGAGGTGAGGAATAAACACGAGAGCAGTGAGAGCTGCAACTATTCTAAAAATAAATGATTCTGCTTTATTATTGGCAGCAGTACTTCCTTGCTTCATTTATCACCATGCTGAGAAAAACAACTTATATCTTATTTATTTTTTATAGTAACTCAGCTTTTTACTGTAACATATTTTACTGCTGAGGAAGGTATTTATTTTATAGAAGCTGTGGCGCTTTAGAAGGAAACTATGAGTGGTTCCTTTAGTTAAAGAAGCTCAACAGGCGGCTATGGGGGGCCTGACACCATTTCTTCATAAAATGAAGAAGATGATGGACAACAGTGAGCATCCTCTTCATCAGACAGTCTTCAGTCAGATGCTTCTCATGAGACAGACCTCTGCAGCAGGTCCTTCCTGTCTACAGCAACACCTACAAATGACTGGAAAAACAACCCACCACAGCATTTACATCTAACTAGGGATGAATAAAGTATTTCTGAATGTTTGGAACCATAAACCTCCTTCTATCTTTGACACGAACAACGCCTCAGAGCTCGTCTGATTAACCCTTTCTTTCACAAGCTGAAAAGGAAGTTTAAAATGAAAGGTCTAAACCGTTTTATTGGGATTGATTTCACACTAAATGAAGGTTCGACCAAAATGAGCCAGTCTAAATACAGTTTGATCTGGTTTGGTATGACTGAGTCTAAATCCAGAGCCACTTCTAGTGAAATCAGATGGGATCTGCTTCCAAAAGGGGAACAGATTGATGGAAGACAAAAGAGAGAAATGCAGTGCAGCCTCATCGACATCATGATCTGATATAAGCTGCACTGTGAACAAACTGTCATAATATATGTCTGATTAGCGGCTGGCTGGTCAGTCACCCGTCCTGCAAACAGGAAGCCTGGGTTCGTATTAATGCAGAGAGTCAATTTCGTTGCTCTGTACTGGTGACAGTGGAAAAAAATTCCAGACAGAAACATATGGCAGCTTTATAACAAGTACAAATACTTAGAAGGGACTAAGAAATATGAGTTGGTTGTGACATTAAACTGAGGATACTCTGATGCTGACTAGCTAACGATGTTGTTGACAGGAAAAGAACAACACAGGCTATTGATTTGGTACAAGTGGAGCAGTTGTTTCATGGAAAACAAAGAAACAGCATTCATTGTTTCATTGTTCGTTGTTTTATTGCCAACGTGAGGTGGCGTATGTAGCATTAGCAGCTACCATCCAAGCAGCGCTCTATCATCCCAACTACTGAAGGACATGCACTACAGTTTGGAACAAACAGCAAAGGTGTTTGAGGACGACACACCAAGAACCCTGAGAGTTGCCAGAGGAGCAAACATGTGGACATTATGGACCATTTCATAAGGTCAAAGGTTTTGCAGGGTAAAGTTTTTCTTGTTTATTGTCTAACAGAAAACTTGGTGGGAGATCTGTTCACAAAATCTGCTACAGGAGCCAAAATTGAGAGATTTTGTTCATATATGTTTGGAAAATAGTGTAACGTTTAAAATGTGTGGCCCCATGGAGTGGGGGTGTTGAAGACGATGCTTGCCAAAACTGTGTTTTTCTGTTGGCACTACTTTATGCAGCGGAAGGCTACATGTTTGTGATGTTGGGGTTGTTCAGCAGAGCAGAGCAGTGAGGCTCCTGCTTAAATGAAGAATGATGTCTCCTCTCTCCTGCT